CACTCTCCTGGACTGAAATTTCGACTGAATGTCCCTTATATGAAACAATTCAATTTGTGACAGCTTCTTACAAATTAACAATTTCTCCTGTTTGAGCAATTTCAAAAAATCAGTTGTGTGAAGTCCTTTTGGAGACCTATTCACCTTTAGAAATTCCTTGTGGACACCTATTCAACCCATTCTCCTCGGTCTCCACAAAGCACCATATTTCAAAACACTTCCACTAACCATGGAAGTACAGGTCTCATTTTGTGATGGAAATTGCAACTTACTTGGCATTGCACAGTAAGATGAGGTTCTGTACAGCTGTTAGGGTGGATGCTTCATTTTGGCCGGTAATCAAGTGCCTGTCCACCACTACATGAACAGCATCAACCTCACTAGCTGAAAAACAACACAGACACAAAAAGCATGCCAGTCGCTGAATTCCACAAAATAACTAATCCTCGATCTTAACCTGAAAAATATGTCGCTCTAACATTGCATCACCACAGCCTGAACATCGTCTATGTAGCTTTATGGGCTAATGGTCCAAGAACTACAGAGAGTGTATGTGTGTGAGGCTTATGCAGGAAGGTGTCATATATAGAGGAAATATCTTAAACGTGTAAATTCACATTACATGAACTCACAGACATGATATAAGCTTGGATGGAATTTCAGGCTATTCATGGTGAAAGACAGCAACAAACAGGTGGAAAGGCTTGCGGTAGCACCATGCAAAGGAATATATCTCTTTTAATATGAGTATCTGTGGTTCTGAAAAAAAACAGGGAGTATACTCAATGTATTGGACTGCGTGCTCAGTCCGTCGTGAGGAGACGAGTTACCCCCTGTTCTTTTCAGAACCACACATACTCGTAAGAGATATATTCCTTCGCACGGTGCTACTGCAAGCCTTTCCACCTATTGATGATGAAGCGTCCCTCCACTGTTACTATTTATGTAGTTTGTACCGTATTTACTGTTACTGTGATTCAACAAGCTGACTGAACAGCTTGGCCAATATTGTGTACATGTCATTTGGGTCCCAAAGTTTTTTTCTTAATATTTATTTCAAATGTTACTACTAGTACCATTTGACCATCTTTTGTGAACACAACCTGATGGTTTGATCACAGACATATGCATGTACCTGTATGATATTTTAAGTATACATGCATTGTATGGATCAAAGAAACTTGATAGTTACCACTGTATGTAGCTCCATTGTCTTTGATAAAGTCTTCTGGAATGATGGGTAAACTTGAGAAGGTTGGGGATCGGGCAAGCTCATACACAGAAGGCTGCAGAGAAAGTATCGATACTTGTACAGGGTGGATCAGAAAAAAACGGAATCCCAAGATATTATCACTAATTGTTACAGAAATAGGGGGCACATGAATCAGAAAAAAAACGGAATCCCAAGATATTATCACTAATTGTTACAGAAATAGGGGGCATATGAATCAAAGGAAGGTATTGTCTGTTGGATTTGAATCTCCTCCAAGCAGTGACCAATTTTATAAAAGGGTCCATTTAGGGAATTGCACCACTTCTTCACTGGCATTCAATGGCCTTAACCGTAACATCGTGTTTTAAAATTAACAAGTGGATGAGGAAAAACTTGCAGTGAAGTTAACAGTTGGGTGAGATGAGACTTGTAAAATTAACAGGTGGGTGAAGGGAACTTTGAAGTGGGGAGAAGCTTGAAATTTCTTGAAACACATGCAGGCGTACATGGGAATGCAGATTACAAAAGCATTTTGCGTATTTGTTGCTTGGAAGTGATTGCAGATGATGAGCCTTGAGGAATTGGCAGATGCTTGTCTAGAATGTCCTCTAGCCAAGGCAACGATTTGGCACGCAAGTACCAGCATCAAGGAACGAGCTCAAACCTATCTTTGACTCGGCCTTTTACCCTGTGACAAAATTGACACCACAAAAAAACCACAAACGAGAAGTGACTGAATTCCCTAAAGAGACCAACTGGGAATGTGTTGATATGGTCAAGGTGTCATTTTAAAGAGGAGATTCAACCCCAACATATGATTCCTCCCTTTGATTCACATGAGCCCGGCTTTTGTTACAATTAGCAATAATATCTCAGTTTGGTTTTTTTTAATCCACCCTGTAAAACAAGATAAAATGTGACCTTTATTCAGCCAGTATTAAAGTTAACATCAGAAATTAGCTCTCTAAAAGGAATAGAGGTAAGGGGCCATTCAAAATTTTTGATGTTTTAAATTTCTACTTTTTTCCCAAAATTGCTTTGACCCGACCACCCCTAGTTTTGATTTTAAAAATGATTTTTTCTTTTCCATTCAGTACTGTATAGCATGCATGGCATATGAAGCAAGATATGAGATGCTTTGTGAGTTATGAGATGTGTGGAAATTGCATTGGCCGCCTCTGTGTTCCCTGTTTTTGCCCTTGTTCTAAACTTCTGGCTACCACTTTTGACAGTTTTATTTTCTTGCCTTATTATAACAGACAAAAACAGAACAGTCAAATACATTTTATATTTGTAGGGGTCTGGGAATTCCCCAGTTACGTCAACAAATTCTAGTGTGACCTTTGAACCTTGTGCACATCTTCAAGGCACGATTATGGCAGGGCACCAGATACAGAGTAAGACTGTTCGTTTTAGATGTCATCGGCTGAAGTACCCAAGTCTGGTGCCTGCCGTGCTGATTTTGTCTGAGCCTCCAGATCCTCCTTCATTGGCAGACAGTCCCCTCTGCCGAACCTTGGCAGGAGACTGGGCCATTACGTATTGAAGGGTTAATTTTTCATCATCCTTTTAAACGACACAAACTCCATAAAAGGGTAGGATATAAAAACAACAGCATGATGTTAACTTTTCTCGTTAAGTGTACATGAAGATTTAAAGTTGTTACGAATTTTTGTTTTTCCCAAGAACTTTGCAGAGCTAAATAAATTATCATCAGAAATATGGCAGGCATTGCCGTCTTTAAGTCATCACTTCAAAATATCAATGCTTGAAGACCAGTCTAATTTTGTAAACTATCATTTCATGTTTTAGGTTTGCCGAAGTTGTTGCTGAGATCACTGACTCCTGGCCATTTGGTGTCGTTTCTCCTGCAGGTCTATGTTCTCAATATTTCTACCAGTATTTCTACCAGTATTTCTACCAGTATTTCTACCAGTATTTCTACCAGTATTTCTACCAGTATTTCTACCAGTATTTCTACCAGTATTTCTACCAGTATTTCTACCAGTATGAGCCATGCTTCTAGTCATGCTTGTGTGCTCCCACCACATAATTACTTCCATGATGGAAGTTGCTTTACGTTTGCATGAAAGCCTACAGAGTTTGCAAATTACCAGTCATGACAGGTGTTTTACATTTGATTCTATGCAGTCTCATCTACACACGTGACTTAGTGAGCGCAATCGGTCTATTGAACTTCTTAAAGACTCTACTAAAAACTCTTCCAAACCACACATTGATAGATGACCAAAGAATTCCCTCAACGGTGGCCCAATAAATTGACAAAAAGACATGCACATGCATACGCCAATGAACTTGCCAATGGGACATCTGTGAGACGACAGAAACTGCTACGGGTTTTGTTACAAGTTTTAAATATTAATTATTCAGAAATTAACTCCATGAAATGCTTCTGCTCTTGATAAGACAAAGGCTGGCCTATAAATCATACCGCTGTCAATGAGTAGCCACAGTAGGCCCACTTGGCACCAGGTTGACTGGACTCTCTGTCAGAAATCAATGCAGCCACGCCCATACCAATGGCACACACAGGCTCTGACAAAAATAAAAATATGTGAGCATGCAGTATGTTCCTGTACATAGACAAATCCAATAGATAAGGGTATTGAGGAATCTGAGATAATACGCATCACCATGTAAATTGCCACAAATACCGTGAAGTGATCGTGACCTTCACAATGATATCTTCATCTCAAAAGATAACAGAACATGTTGTCTTGTGATGGGCTCGACTATAACACTGCTGTTTAGGTGTAATGTATAAAATATCTCTTCTGACGGGTCAATATTCAGTCACTTCCATACATGATGCTTCACAAGTAAATTAAATGTCAACAAGCTAGCAACATCAGTTAAGGAGTTTTTCCCAAGCTTTAGTGAATATGCCATGCAGGCCTTGAAATAGTACTAGCCCAGCATACAAATTCTAGCTAAAAATGCTCCGGGCTACCTAAACTTGGTTCCTTGGTTGCCCAGTGGGCTTGTGAAAAATTCATAATAAGCCTACCTGTTAAAGCTTGGATCAAAATAAATACACGTATTCAATATAAATCAATCTATCAATATCAGAAAGTAAGCAAAAAGTGGCAATATTTGCCTAACGTAAGCGACCCAAATGAGGGGAAAGATGGAGCAAAGAGGTGATTTTGTTCCCGACTCTGTTACCAGTGACTCAAGCGATGTGTAACTAACATACATGCCTCTTTATTTATACCCTCAGCCTTTTATTTTCCAAAACGTCAAATTCTTTATTGGTGAGCTGATAGCAAATTTGGGGTTTTTGTAAATTTTTTATATACGGGCTAGTAAAACTCTAAACAGGCTAGTACAATATCCAGTTAACTAGCCCAGTGGGTTAGCCAGGAAAAAAAGTTAGCACAAGGCCTGCCATACAACATGAATGGTATTTGTAGATGCAAATAGGTGGTGATTCCGGCATATTAGTCCCCATCAAAAATTGTCTTCTATTGACCTTTCATCCAACATGGTCACAGAATGGATCCATAGAGGATTCCTCAACCTACATAAACGTTCATTCAATTAACGACCTACTTGCTTCTGCTTTGAAGTGACGTAGAATCTGTGCAAGATCCTGATCATGAGCCAGGTCATGCAACGCACCGGGAGAATCCACCAGCAGGAGCGCCGAGTATCGAGATGCTGTGCACACATATACACATACAAAAAGGGTTCATCCAATCAATGTACACAAAATGAGATGCATGTACTTGTAAACTCTTGAGACATGTTAGGGCTTTCCAGTTGGAACAGAAAAAACACCGATCTCTATACCTATATTAACTACAATCCTGGCCTGAATTGTTGGGACACGTCAACAGTCATACCCTTTCCGGGTCCTCCAGTCCATGTTGTCATCTTGATGAGCCGGAGCTGGAACATTGAGAGGGGCGGGGCCCAGGAATGGGGAGGCCCAACAAGAGTTGGTCAGGATTGTCTGAATTGGTTCATAGTGGGGTATGTATGTCGTTTGGAGTGTGCTTCCTGGCATTGTTCTTGGGAAACATAAAATGGCAGCCGGTGGTTGAATAGAAGAAGGTACATTTTGATCAAGCTGTACAAGTAACTAAAAAGGAAGATTTAGAGATCAATTTTGTATTGTGTGTGTACAATCAAAACTTTTTTGTAGGAGTTCATCATATGCGATGCACCATGGCATTTCGGCCCATAACTGTCCAAAATTGATGTGTTTCTGAATTTGATATATATTCAAAAACAACTTGGTTAGGATGGTAGTTAATGCACATTCCCATACCATGGACAAATAACCCAAACAGTCCTCAATCCTTCACCTGTTGGAGGACTGAGGACTGTTAGAGATACATAAGGTCACAACTCAATTTATTGGCCTATGTTATATGGGGCACCCATGCATACCAGAACAGTGTGTGTACATGTTTGTAATGAATACTGTACATGTAGTTTTTAGCTGTATCAAGTGATAATTAAATACATGTAAATTGTGAGAAATACAACTGTAAAACCCTAACATAAATATAAAAACTGGGTTGATCTGAAATGGTCTGTAACAGTCATAATATGACAGGCCACAGTGACTAAAATCCCAACTGTCTTGGTCAGTCTCCATCAAAGGCATCATTAGCAGGAGAAATCTATGCCTCAATCAACAGACGGCATCTAAATACGCATAAATGTACATACACCGTACAGGTACACCTAGTGGCTGCTAGCACCGGCATGTCATGATATTGACATGCTATCCAGTAAGTACTATGCACACAGCTATGTAATTGGTGAACAAAAGGATCAGTTAAGTCATCTGATATGTCTGCGACAGGGTAATCAAATTTGAACATTAAAATGGAGCATTTCATTGGAATCTTACCATCTATGGTGTCTAACCTGACAGGTGTAGAGAAGGGCTTAGTTTTGAACTCATTCAGCCATCGTTTGCTACTTTCATCTTGCTCAATGAAATCTAGTGGCTTCCTCTGCAACGATCCACAAGGAAATCAAGACACACAATTCATAAACCAATTAAATATTTCACCACATTCAAAGGACTCTTTAAAATATCATTTTACATGAGCAACTTCAGCCTTATTTGAGGTACCAGGGGTCAATATATGTATCGACGACTCCACATGATTTGGTCTGCATCTCAGCAGTTTGTTAATCCTTACATGATGAACATTTACAATCATTTTTATGTTCAGTGTCACTTGCTTCCTACTGTTTCTTCTAAACAAGAAACTAATGAGGCTATTCGGTTTTGCTGACCAGTATACAAACTTTGTTTCACAAACTGATTTTTGAAAACATACCCATATGCATCAAAGCAACTGACTCCATTAACCAAATACACGTAAGTATAGATCTGTACATTTCTCTTCAAGCAAACTTGAATTCTCAATTCTGATAGATCGATCTATGGCAACAAAGACTATGATACATATTGCATCGTTTGTAACCCTGCATGATGTGCTACATTTTGTTCACACAAAAAGCAAAGTGCACAGCTGCAAAATTTTGTGCAAAGTTTACGGTAAATTCAAACCTGACGCATTTGCGTGTATAGATGTAGGCCCCATTACATCTTTACTGCACTTCAAGTTTACTTGAAGATAAATTCATTATCACACTCTCTGATGTAGTGTGTCTTTGGCCTAGTGGTATACAGGACACAGAGACATAACACCATTCTGTGTTCACTCCCACTCGTGCATGTCAAGCGGTGACTTGCAGCCTAGCCCCACAAATACATGTAGGGCTGTAGTGGCTCCCTTTTACAATCTGTCTCTTATCTGTCGCCACCACTGATAAGAGACAGATTGTAAAAGAGAGCCACTACAGCCCTATTTGTGGGGCTACTTGCAGCCCCTCCATTTCATGGGTACTTTAACCATGTTTACATTATATGACTTCACAGCCCAGGCTTGGCCTATAGTGCAAAGCTGCCTGTTTGTGAATAGAGGAGGCACATGCATGGGGAGAGACTGAGGGGTGTAGACCATTTGTGGGACATCATAGTAACTTCCCCTGCCTTTATGCCTGCAAGGCCAAAACCTGGATAAGCATATGCATGTACGTACATCTGGTGATGCTAGCTGCAGATTGAATGCTGAGTGGCACAGTGTAAAAGCATGAATGAACGACTGTGCTGGAATACCTGTTCAAGAAATGGAAGTATAGGATGTAAATATTATGAATGCTATAAGGTGGTGGTTATAAGTACATGTACTGTAAATAAACAGGCCGTGTACAATCCATGTAGCTGCACATTTACACAAATTTTTATCTTCAGGCCGCAAACTTGAATTCACAATTCTGATTGATCCATCCACAGCAACAGTCTGACGTACATGTACATTGTATGTACATGTAACTGTGTTGTACGTTAAATGTTACACCCTGCCCCTAGAACTGCGGGGCGGACGTTGGACCCCACAGCGCTGCAGTTCTGGGAGTAGTCAAACCCCACGTGATACACTGTTCTACATGTCACTCAATGTTCTGTGCTATTTTTACACTAAAAGCAAAATGCACAACTACAAAATTTACTGTAAATGCAAAGGTGGCCCATGAGTAGAGTGTGCTAGGCCTCTGTAATACCTTCACTACACATCAAGTTTACTTGAAGATCACGCTCATTGCTCATGGAACTACAGACACATGACCTAGCTGTGTTCCACCATGGTCAGATAGTAGAATTGGGGAAGCGAGTTACTGCCGATAACCCCCCCCCAAAAAAAAAGCCTGTGGGGTCCAACATCCACTCCAAGGACACGTACCCCACACAGTTCCGGGGGTAGCCTAACTGGCGATTTTGCCAGAGTTCTTGTCTGTTTTGTACTGACCTTCTTTTGAGCTAACGACCAACAAGCAACTAGACTTCCCTGGGGCTGCCATAGTAGCCGTACATATACACCAGCAGTCCACGAAACAGCAGGCCCGTTGTATTTTTACTAGGGGGCCTAGTACTAGTAGTACGTACGTTTCTGCCTGCAGGCTGCGGTCTGAAATACCGCAGCCGTCTACACCACAGACCGGTTTTCGAAGGAGTAAGGTTTTTTTTGTAATATGAAAAAAATACCAACAAATCCAAGATATCAAGTGATGTCCTAATCACTTTCCCTAAGTTACATACAATTTGAAAAACGATAAAAGCTTGATGACCTTCACACAATTCATCAAGCTCAAAGGAGTGTTATTTCCGATCGATCTCATGAAAGAACGAGCGCCCTCCACTGCCCGTCGCTGACCATGACCTATTTTCCCAGGGTTGTACAGAGGTATGGTGCAATAGTGAAGCCATGCATCAGTGCTCTATGCACATGTCATTGCCGGAAACTGGAGCTGAATATTTATTTTCAAAATGTAATTTTTCCATGATTGTGCGACTGTATTTTAACAAGCTCATTCTCAAGATCAGTCTTGCCAAGATTATCAGCCTTTCGTTAGAGTGCCACGACTGAACTTGACCATTGCCTCTTGTCATATCTTGTGGTCTTTTTATTAATTCAAAGAAGAGGAGAAAAACCGCATCACCGCACCACTTTTAGACCAAGCCCATAACCAGAAACCGGAGTCTTTTTTTGGCCTAAGACACAGTGACTGTAATGCATATTAATTACCCCCGCAATAGGTAGAATGTTTTTATAACATGTATAATTGGGGGCTAAATCTACGCAGTCCTATTTCTACGCACTCACCTTTCATTGAACGTTTTGCTTATGTGCGCGCAATTGAACAGCGAACAATCACTTATTTATACATTTGCTCTTGTTCAAAAGTTTTGCAAGACCCCAAAATGTTGGAAGTTAATCCTGTAATATAAGTTTATAAGTAAAAGAAATAAAAGACCCTTCAGAGGTCTTCCGGTCATCTAACAGTTCTCCCTCTATTGCCTAATACGTACTTTTAACGTGTCGCGTGATATCATTAAAATTTACCGACTCAGTGAAGCGCTTTAGGGGTGCAAATAGGACCTTTTCCCGCTTATATTTGAAGTTTCAAGCCTTTAAGTTTTTTGCTTATGTTGTCAAATGAGTGAATATGAATAAACATTAGTGGTGGATCCATTTAAGTGTGCTTTTCTCATTTTTCCCAAATGAGAGCTGGATGTACTACTTGGGTTGACACTGGGCTGCCATATTCATGAATAAAGGTAATCAGTAGTGGAATAGGATACAAAAATATAACATTTAATCAGTGCTATAATTGCTGAGCTATCAGTAACACGGTGCCTTCGTCAGGGCAAGCAGATTTCAGTTCTCACTAAACGCAGAAAAAGCCACGTTCATTGCCCCCAGCGTTCCAAGTTCGAAAATGACGCGCTGCTCCAGTTCCTTACGCTGTACATCGGATGACGCTCCGCGGGATGCAGACGCTTACGTCACCGAGCGTATGTGGCGGCGCTCAAAAGTGCTGCACCGTGCAGCAACTGACAACTGAGTGAAGTATGAGTGGAAAGGCTGCGTAGCTCTGTGATCAGAATATTGACAAGAATATGATATATAATCAGTGCTCTGAAATATGTAATTGCCGAGCTTTTGGTAACTGAGTGCCTTCTTCAGGGCAAGCACTGGCAGATTCAGTTCTGGATGAACGCAGAAAAATTCCTCCTGGATGCAGCTTTCCAAGTTCCAAAAATGACGCACTGCTCCAGTTCCTTACGCTGCACATCGGATGACGCTTTCCGCGCGAAATACAGACGCTTACGTCACCGAGAGTATGTGGCGGCGC